AGCATCTGCGGGGGGGGAGGGGGGGTTAAAAAAAGTCAATGGGATGGCTGTGACCGTACAGTTGAAGTTCCACCACTTTCTAATGTGCATTGCGGAGGGGTTATATTGTATTGTAATATTCTATTGCAGTCATCCTGACTTTTTCAACCCAGCTGCGGGCAACTCTGGATCTGTAATAACCAAGCAAAAAGTAGGGGGGGAAAAAACACCTCTAGTCCTTTCTAATTTTTTAATGAATACAGTCAACCCAGTGGCTAGACGGTAGAAGAGAGTCAGTGCCCACATGTTGGAAAACGGTGGGTTGATCTGTTTCCTGCTAAACCGAGAAGACAGCGAAGTTTGGAAGAAGGTGGCATTGAAAGGATAAGGTGTCTTTCGGTGTTCAGAATATAACCGGACATTGGGATTTTGCATGATCCAACGGGTTGAAACTTTAGGGAGCCCTCCTGTACCACTTGATTTAATTCCATTGTTGCTGCTCTTATTGTTCTGGAGAACAATTAAGTGTTGATATGCAACACATCACGGGGTTGCATAGATGGTGTCCCAAGGAGTATTGCTGTCTTGGAAGTGGGGGACACTTCTGGACTAGATTATTTTCTAACAAAAGCTCTGGAGTTGCCCAGTCAATGGGATCGCATGACTTTGGCAAATTGAAAGAGTAATTGCATGCCTTGGGACCTGGTTTAATCTAATCAACAGATGAAACCAACAGCAAGCATTAATTTAATTAATGCAGCAGTGGCTAACAGTGAAACTCTGACATATCTCCTGTCCTCCAGAGCATTAGTTTTATTTCTAGCAGCTGCTTAAGCACTTGGCTTTGCCTTAAAAAAAAAATAGAGTAAGGTTTCCTGAGGCAAGATATTGAGTTAATGTCAACATCGAAATGTATATTGAACAAAGAATCATGATATTAGAGCTGCTCACTAACAGGTTAGTCTACAAAGCCTTCTAGCTTAGTGTTTTGGATCATTCATATTTGAAGTCATTAACATTAGCCTTGTGTGGGGCATATTACTATACTCTAATAGATAATTTGAGGTTATTGGTTTAGGTTTTACTGGAATTCAGATACCGACATCAATGTAATCAGGATAAAAGAATGTATTGTTTAAAAACCCTTCATTCAAAGAGGCAGCGACTTTATCAGTTAAACAAAAAAGGTGGGGGGAAAGTGCTTTTTTTATGTTCATTTTTACATTTTTTCTAGCGCTTTCGTGTCTGACAAATAAAAAAGGCAGAAATAAAGGACGCATTTCAAGAAGTCTCTGCAGAGCTTTCTAATCAGGAAGCATGTGCCTTATTTCCTAACATTTTTACCGACTCAAGGGCTGAACGGTGTCTCCCTGGGCAGCAGAGTCTGCTAAGCCTCATCTTAAGTCTGAGCAAAATGCTCTGGTGGAACCAGTTCAGTTTAATTTTCCTGGAATAGAAAAGGGGATTTTCTATAAGGAACTGAATATCCTCTTTGGCGATCTGATGAATGATTAACTTCTAGATCAATTTGCTCATCAGTTTCATCGGTGGACTTAGAGAAGGACATTCAAAGGCTGGTTTCCCCCAGCCTGCACAATCATGCTTCGTCTAGGCATTTTTTTATTTCTGGCGCTTTACGGAAGAGTTTTGGCTCAAGACCAAACGTAAGTAAAAAAACAATCTTCTGCAAAGGCATGTAGGAATTAGACCGAGGCTGTAGCAGGTGTAATTGTTTGGAATGAGAATAGGCTCATTAAAACAGGACTTACTGAGGATGGACTTGTTTAAAGGTGGTAGACTTGATGTAAACATGACAAAGTCTAGATTCCACCCAACATGGCATTATGCAAATGTGGAGCTGGGTTACAGTACTGGTTTTGGATTTTGAAGCCCCAGGTAGCTTCAAGATCTTGCACAGTTCCTCCCTAAGGCTGCCCCCATCAGTAGTGTAATCACTAGTATTTTATAGAGATGGCTTGTTCTATCTCAGAAGGAATTTAGAAATGCAAGGCTGAAATTATAAGGGATGCTGAATTCTTCTCCCAGGATTTAGGTCTTATTTTGCCTGAATGCGATCATGTTTCCACGACCTGCAAATATTTTCCCTTCAATAGATGCCCAGATAGAAAGACTCTTGGTTTTCTGCTCCTGAATGAACCCAATCTCTGTTCATTTTTCACTTACAGGACAAGGGCCCCTTTGGGATTCTGCATTTTCATTCTCAGAACGTATTATCTTTTGGCTTGATTTTTCCTATTTATGTAAATGATTATGTCTTGACTGTATTGTTTATGTAATCTGTAATCCCTCTTGAAAGCTTTCATGCCAAACGCAGGTAGGAAATTAACAGATAAATAGAAATAGATGGGTAGGTGGCATGCAACAGAAGACTCAAGACAGATTAATAAGCTATTCAAACCCAAATAATATGCTAGCAATTCATCTGGTCCTTCTGCAGATGAGGAACTTGCTGACTTTGGGAAGACTTAGCCCTGCTAAGACTGTAGACCGCAAGACATTTCCTTCCTAATGTTCTCCTTGCCTTTAATGCAGTTTGTATTTTGAATATTGCATCGTGCTTATGAGTTGCAATTAAAAATGCTTTCAATAAATTGATATCAATGTTAAAAAAAGATTAGTGGTAAAGTTTTGCTTTTTTTTAAAGTAAGAATAACATGCATGGACTGTTGTGGGTCTGTGCATGTATCATGGATATTTCATGTAGTTTGGAAAATAAGCTTGCAGTGGAAGTATAAGAATTTTATAAGACTGAAAAAGAAATCTTCTGTTCATTTAAAAGCCTCGATGTCTTTATGCCAACTGATTCAATGACTGACTCCTTCCCATCGTGATGATTGGAGTACAGCATGCAAAGAAAAACATACAAGGGGCGAAATTAATGGGATTCATTTATTTAGCCCTGTTAATTTCATAGACCTTTCTCCAGGCAAGATATTTATTTTTTGCATTTCAACCATTTTCAGTTGTTAGAGAGTAATAACTGTTTCTTAACAAAGCTTAAAGCTCTGGAGATAACATCTGCCCAGAAGAAAATAAAACCTTTTCAAAAGTAGTGTTTTAATACAAAAGGACACCAGTGAATGGTTTGAGACAATCTCCCTACATTCTGCCATAGGTGCGACCCAGTTACATCTGCAAGACAAACTCATAATTAATCTGATAGTGGAACACCAAGAATAGTGACTGTCTGGACTGTAACTTTAATTTCCAGAAGGTTTGAACATTAAGATATAACAGTTTCTTCAAAAGCAAACCAGATACTAGGGTGATAAGATCTGCTTGTATTAGCAATGGAGGCACAGCCCTCCAAGATAAAGCAGGGTTTAGAGATGCCTTCCGTAAGGTATAATGGACAGAAACTGCTTTGCCTTTCTATTACAGATACATCATTTCAGCCCCCAAATTTATCCGTGCTGGAGCCTCTGAGCAAGTGGTAATTCAAGCCTATGGATATACCGAAGAATTCTCTGTCACAATCTCTATTAAAAGCTATCCAGATAAAAAAATCACGTATGCCTTTGGCACGACACAGCTGACCCCAGCCAACAAGTTCCAAGGGTCTGTAACTTTAACGGTACGTAGTGAAGCATTGCTGGTCCTCTTGACTATTTGCTTTATTTGGTTCCTGCTTGTTTTTAAAAGTATTTCCACCCCATATCTAGGTTCAGCCAAAGGATTTAAGAACCGAAGACCCACAGAAGCCAGTAGAATCTGTATATCTGGAAGGGTCTTCAGCCCACTTTACAAGACAGAAGAAAATGCTCCTTACTTATGATAACGGATTTTTATTCATTCAGACTGACAAACCTATTTACACTCCTGATCAATCAGGTGACAAACTTTCCTTTGCCTTGCTTTTAAAAGCTTGATCCCGCTTCTAGATTATTTTAATTAAAAACAAAAGCCGATTAAGCTGATTAACAATAGGAAGCCGAGAAGGCATATAATCGCTTGGATAGATTAAAAACGTACCTTAAAAGATTGCTGCTTAGTTTCATTTCTCCTGTTTTAAAAGCCCTTTGGGGTTTTATAATATTGTTAGTATTTTGGAGTTTATACATCACCCAGGGAACTCTGATTTTAGAGCAGCCAATATAATCAAACCAACTCCAAATCAATGCAAGATAAAGACCTCTTCACTGAAGGTTATGGACCATGTTGTGCCATGCCTGTCCTGATGGTCAGATGTTTTTCAAATTTCAGTCTAACCTGTTAGGGAGGCTGGCACTTTGCTGCAGCTAATTCATTTAAACTACATTTCAAATTGTCTTTACAGTGAAAGTTCGTGTCTACTCCTTGAACGAAGAACTGAGGCCAGCACGGCGTTCAATTGTCTTAACCTTTGTGGTTAGTCCATCATAGTTACATTTCAGTGTGCGTTTATTTACATTTTAAGTGTAAGCCAAGCAGAACAATATTTGGTAAGGATCGCTTCTTACCAAGGCTATACTGATATCTTCACTGGCAGCTCCTCCTTTTCCAGACCATGTGGTGGATCATTTAGTTAGTTAGTTAGTTAGTTATAAATCAAATTTATATGCCACCCATCTTGCTGTCAGTCATTTATAGATTAGAGATAAAAGAGAACCTGGGACTAAGAGTGGAAACAGCCTGGAGATTCTTAAGTGTGATTTGCTGGAGTTTAAGGATTTGGGGCTGCCCTGGAGTTTTACACCACAACAGGAATGAATCATACGTCAGCCTTCAATAAAACTGCACGAATGCTCTGTGCAATTTTTCAAAGTGCTCTTTTATCTCTCATAAAGGATCCAGATGGAGTAGAAGTGGATATTATACGTGAAGATGATGCCACGGGAATTGTCTCATTTCCTGAATTCAAAATCCCTCCGTACCCTAAGTAAATCTATTAACGTTTTAAATATCAGGAAGTAAATATTTGTTTGCAAGAGAAACGTGCAGACACATTGGTGAAATGCTCATGGAATCAGATTTAAAATTTGTACACCCAGAATCCAGAATAGTCACTCCCTCTGTACTTTTTTTAAAAAAATTGCCATTTTATTTTGGCTGCATGGATCAGGATTTATCTTTAACCCTTGGCTCGTGCCAGGTTTTGTGCTGATGTTCTAATCCTCCGCGACATTACTCTGATCTTATAAAAGCCTTCCATTTGTAACCTTCCGTGCCTACATAGTTACATGCAGGAACATAACTAAGCATCATTATCATGGCTTGACTAGGCTGTGGGTGGTGGTGAGTAGATTCCTGCAGACCTCGGGGCTGAATCCAGGCACTCAAGTTAAGAGAACGAGCCGAAGGCATTGGCGTCCTTAAAAGCTGGGCTGCAGGGCATCGGATGGCCACGGGAGGGCAGCAAAGCATTAGGTTTTGTATTCCAGCGCTGCTCGCTCTATCGCATTTTGGAGCAGAGGAATAAGAGACGTTCTGCAGAAAAGGCTGTTTGAAGATCTAAAATTATTGAACTGCATTACCGGGTCTCTTGTTATTGAAGTATTATCAAATCTTTGTTTGTTTGTTTGTTTGTTTGGTAGGTATGGCATTTGGACGATTAAAGCCAAGTATGAGAAAGAATTCACAACTTCTGGGGTAGCAAAATTTCAAATTAAAGAATATGGTAATCTTGATAATTTTACTGGGCTGTTACTACACTTACCACCTCCTCCTCCTCTTCCTCCTTCTCCTTCTCCTTCCTTTTTTATATATAACTCAAGGTGGTGAACATACATAATACTCCTGCCTCCTATTTTCCCCACAACTACCCTGTGAGGTAGGTTGGGCTGAGAGAGAGCTTGTGATGAAGGAATTGACTCACTGGGGGGCAGTTTCAGAGAAAATGCTTTGAGCAAAATAATATAACCCCCACCTGATCTTGCTTGGAAGCAAGAGTAGCTGACTTCCCCACGTAAGGTCAAAGTTTTGCCACTTATTTTAAGCTAGTGAGAAGCACTTTCCATCATGCACATTCCCTGGGGTCCAGCTGATAAAAAAGAAATCTTTTGTAGAAAGTGGTTTTTATATTTGTCATTGAACTGTGAAGATGGAACTGTCTTCTCTTTCCCATTTTAGCAATGCCAAGGTTTTCTGTCAACATTATTCCAGAAAACAGCTTTATTACCTCCAAGCATTTTGAACATTTCCAGATTGCTGTCCATGCTTGGTAAGGCCAGACCATCAGTTTTACGTATTCAGTTTAGTTTAGTTTAGTTTAGTTTAGTTTAGTTTAGTTTAGTTTAGTTTAGTTTAGTTTAGTTTATACATGCTAGTTGCAATCTGAGAGTGGTGTTTCACAGACTGGAGCAGAGTTTCTCAACCTTGGCGGCTTGAAGATGTGTGGACTTCAACTCCCAGAATTCCCCAGCCAAGTTGGCTGGGGAATTCTGGGAGTTGAAGTCCACACATCTTCAAGTCGCCAAGGTTGAGAAACCCTGGACTAGAGGAAGCAAACATTGCAAGGAAGACGGAGTGCCTTAGATGATCATGAAGGAAAATTTACAATATCATATGGCAATACTTTTTGTAGATCTGGTTATTCCTCTAACTGGGAGCTCAGCAGAGGAGTGCTAGCATCAGTCGTCCTCCGTGTCCTATTCTGCTTGTCTGAATTTCAGAGAAGCTCTTGTAGGTGTCAGGAACAGTAAGAGACACTGGGGGGGGGGAAGGAAGTTATAAGTGGCCCGTCCCTCCTT